GCTGTCGCCAGCGTGCCTTGGACCCTATGGTCCGAGCCCCGCCACTGCCATCCGACTTTGGTGGTAGGCAGCTCTGCTGTCGTCCGGTTTAATACCGAGCCTAACCTATCGGGGCCTTACGTGGTTCGTCACTCCAAGACCCGGGGCTCAAGTTGCCGATTTCAATCACTGAACAGCGGGTTCTCTTGACTATGGGGTCCGCCCCGTCTGCTTTTCGTCACACCTAGATGTGTAATAAAAGGAAGTAGATTTCGCTTCATTTACTTTGTGAATATATATAATGCCCCTGACGCAACACGACTTTCTGATACTATAGTAACACAATTCACCACGTGTATTGACCAGTCTTTGTGTATCCCCGCTGGAGACTTTAATCGGTTTGGTAACTCCTTTCTAACAGCCTTGTCAATTTCCCAACCCGAACCAATGCTTTCATTGACGGCGTTTATGTAAATAGTCCCAATATGTTTCATGTTCCTAAAAGAGCCCCGATTATCACCACTGACCATTATACCATTCTCCTTTGGCCCAAGATAAACTGCAAAACTAACCATTGCCTTCATACACGACCCACCTCTCTTAATCTACGGAAAAGGAATTGTTCTCTGGAGAACTTGTTCGGATTGCGGGACTTAGTTTCTTCTACTGACTTTTCTGTTCTTCAATAATCAGCTGTTTTTGTCTTAGAACATCTTACTGATTATCTTAATTTCTGCTATGACCAATGCTGTCCTGTTGAAACTATTTATATTCGAACCGATAGGCTTTTCTCACCCCTCCTTAAGCGATTTCGTCGTTCTAAAGCAACGGCATAAATCGCTAGCAGGCGTAACAGTGTCAAAGAGCTCTCTGTGCTCATCAGAGCCGAAGTAAGACGCATGAACGGAATGTACGTCAAGACTGTTTTGGGCAATGAAAGCTGTCGTGAGATGTGGACTACCTTGCGGAAACTCTGTGGCTCAAGCATCAGTTCTTGTCCCAACGCTGAGGTACTTAACCGTCAGTTTGCTTCTGTACCTGCCTCCAGCTCTCTCCCACCTCCTGTTCCTACCCATGAGGCAATAAACCCTGTTTCTCCGAACGAGGTTCTCCAAGTTTTGAGGAGACTCAAGGCAAACAAAGCTCATGGTTCCGACGGATTAGCACCTCTTTTGTTGAAAGCCTGCGACACCCACTGCTGAATTGTTCAGTACTTGTTTGTCATCTGGGACGATCCACGATTGTTGGGGGTCAGCCCGGATCAGACCAATCCCAAAGAGAAGATCGTTAAAGTACCGTCCAATTGCCTGCACATCTGTGTTGCTGAAGGCTTTTAGAAATATTTTTCTGTGCGCATGATACCCCATTGTCGCTCCCATGACCCTGGACAATTTGCCTATAAACCCCATTTGTCCACTCCTGATGCTATTGCTCATATTGCTCATTCTATTGCTTCCGTTTTAGATAATGGCACTGGTGCCACTCGTTTAGCTTTTCTTGATTATACAAACACTTTTGGTTCTTTCGACCGAAAACTGCTTATTGATCGTCTTTCTGAGTGTGGTCTAACTCCTGAGGTTTTCAATGTACCAATCAACTACTTCTCCTGAAGAACTCAGTTTACTTCACTCAATGGTGTACAGTCTTCTATTAACATCAAAACCGGTGTTTTCAGGGAGCCATTTTGTCCCCTCTCTTGATTTCTACATATATACCAAATCTTCCCATTCCCATTAACTTTATTGCTTGTAAGTATGCTGATGATATTGTGATTGGTTGCTCATCCCTTATTTCAGACAGTTTCCGACCTTTCCAGGACAGTCCTATTGAACTTCACGATTGGTCTGTGACTCGATCCCTTGTACTTAACATCAGTAAGTGCATTGAAGTTTCATCTAGTCTTAAAGCCGGTCCCCGTTATCTTTCATTAGTTAATAATCTCCCTGATCTTAGAGTTAACAATCAAAGCATTCCGAAGTCAGTATCTGTTAAATACCTTGGTGTCACTCTAACCCATAACCTGTCCTGGTCTGCTCATGTCATCAACGTTTTCACAAAAGTTAGAAAACTGTCTTTCTATGCTTCCAGGCTCAGGGAACTGACCGTACCACATAATCGTATTCTTAGGTTTGTGATTGCCTGCATTCTTTCACACTGGCCATACTGCTTCCAATTTTTATCCCTGGACTGAAAGAAAAAGACCACTTTATTTTCGAGATCCCTTAAACTTTTATCTCGCTACAGTAGAGTTGATAGTTGTTGTGGTCGATTTCTTTATTTCCAAATATGTTGATGCTTGTGATACATTCATTGACAGGACAACACATGATCAAGGGCACTGGTTGTACCAAGATAGTGCGAAAGCCCTGTCAAATCCCCGCACTCGCTCCAAATATTAACTCCTTCCTGCGCGTACTTCCACATATTGAAACAGTGTACTAGCATATCTAGCTCGGTTACTAGTTTATCTTCAGAATATTCTCACCCACTTCAGGGAAAAACTCTTGCACTAATTTTTCTCTCATTTACTAGAGTGTGGAATTTCTTATATTGTCCTTTTTTATTTGCAGTTGGTTTTATCTATCCCCTGTAAAAATCGTAAACTGCTGAAAATCAACCCTTTGGGTGCACAGAGCATTTCTTGAGAGACTGACTGACTGTCCAGATGATCTGATTGCTGGTATTCCGCATTTCATCTTTCTTGTAGAGTTGATGTGGTAATAAAGCAGTTCTGGATTGGAAATGAATTCCTGAGCCCGGGTTTCTTGGTACATCAGTTTTTCCTCTCGCATAAACTTGGTACACTGATTTCGCAGTAAGGTATAATCATTGCAAGTTTTGATAGATGGACATTTTCAATACTCCGACCGGGAAAAGTCACTTTGCTCTATTCATTTCTTTGTTCGGTTGCGAATGGATGATTGCGGAATTTTCGATTTAACACAAGTTTTGATACCTGTGGCAGCTATTAAAATTTTAGTAAGATGTTCGGTGAACCTTTTCCACGCCACCAAAGGATCGTGATCGTCTTATGGGAGGAACCATTGCTGCTGCCAGGTTTAGCAACTTGTTATCGTTTATGATAGCACGAGTACTGCTCTCCCGGCTTTCTTAGGTAGAGGCGTCGCCGATGTAATCGAAATTAAATAGGGCATGAGCACTACTTCCGAATGGTGTTGTGAAAGATTCCACCACCAGCCCCTCGTTCGTCAGCACGAAATCCGGTGTTGCTGGTACGTGACCCGCTCCAAATCTAGTAATATCTTTAATGTGGTGGATGTGATACTGCACCTAAAAATTCTACCTTTCAGAAAACAAAAACAGAACGACCGTTTGACGAGCAGTGTTGGAAGCCAAGGCAACTAGCTGACAACACAACGATCTGGACGCACGATTGGTCTCGACCACTTCCGTCCTATGAAAACTGAACTGAACTGAACTGAACGGGGAAGCGGTAAATGAATCATCAAGGTCAAATTCTGATCGACGGGGTAGATCACTCGGATGGGGACACCTGGTGTGCATCGATCGATGCGGTCGGCGACAGCGGAAAATAACAATGACACGAAATGATTATATTCCGAAAACTGATCCGTAGCTTACTTGCAAATGTTCACGCAGAGCTGATTAGTAACCCGTTGAGTAGAGTGGGAATTTATCTTCACAAAAGAATCACAATATTGATGATGATGTGAGGAACAATAAACAGTTTTGTTCATGCGGATATTTCTATTACTCCCCTTGAAATCGAAAATATGGCCAAACAGAAGATCCAGGAATTTATATCCAAGACAAAAACAACAAACAACACCGTTGTTTACAAAACTGTCATATCCAAGACATGTCTATATAAAGACAGCCGGTGAACCAGTCTAAGGTGAACCCAAGTTCCCCATTTATATGTTGCATGGTAGCCCTTTGATTGGCCGCTTCCCCCTTTCTGAAAATTGTATCTTTGCATATTCAATAAAAAGGAATTAAAAATGTAAATGAAAAAATTGCTGAAGGAATCGTTTTGACGGAGAAAATGCACAAAATCCGAGAGCACACAAATAGACCGTCCGCTTACGGATGTACCACGTGAGCTCATAAAAGTAAAAGCACCCTAAAATTTATATTATCATTGGAGCAAGTGAAACACGGAGCGGTTAAATTTGTACCCTTTATGTGTACCCTAGCGAAGACCGGGTACCAAATATCCAAACAAGGCACATGAGTTTTACTGATAATCAACCGAAACTATGACATGAGAGTAGTGGATGATTTGATTCCCAGGTTCCCGGGTTCGATTCCTAGTTGAGNGCTTATGAGATCCAACCACAGCTGTACAATGCTTCCTAGCTTTTCAGTTCACGCTTCGTTTGTTCTATAGACGACGGATTAACCTGTGACATTATGATACTGATGGTAATCCTGTTTCCAAAAGTCCCTCTGAAAAGCGTCTCCTCATGAAAGCTGACTACGTTTGTATATTCTCCAAACCAAAAAGCAAGCAAAAACATTTAAAAATATGACCCATGGAGCTGACTTATCCGGTAACAGGTGATAAAGGTGAAAATAAGCTGTAGGATAGTCCGGCCAACATAAAACAAGTGAGCAGGTCGCATTTGACCATGAACACAAGAAACACAGCACACGAGCAAATGTCACTAACCTCCTCCCGGGAAATACGCATATCGTCTTTCACGTCGGCAAACACGGTTGGCTGAACAAAATAGCCAGTAGAACCAACGCGATCACCACCAGCGCATAATTTGGCACCCTCCCGTTTTCCACTCTCAATATAAGACAGGACAGTCTTTAGTTGATTTTCGTCCACTTGCGGGCCCTTACACACGAGGATGAGAGTCGGTGAAAAGAAAAAATAACTGTGATAGACACTACAGCGCAAGTATGAATAAACAACGCAAATCCTGTCAAAAAATGGATAATGAGAATTTGAATGGAACAGTACTTTAACAAGGATCAATACGAACTGCCACGTGAGTTGGTGAGTCAGAAACGTTAGAGGGCTGGAAATTATCAGAACATGGAGCAAGCAAGTGCTAGGTTGAACTAATAACCATTAAAATGTGTGCATATTTTCAGATCATCAAAATATACGGGTAAGAATGAGTAGTACAACAAATTTGATCTCCATCGGGACGAATCATGAGTTGTCACTAGTCGTGAGTAAGATGAAAAAAAGAATCTGAATAACTAACAAATTACTCCATCGGAAGATGTATGGATGATTCGATTTTACCACAATAATAAAAATAAATTTGCCACTACCACCATTAAGCGGTTGAAGTTGAAGGTCCGAAGTCTGTAATCGACATTTATCTTTGTAGGTGAGTATCTTAGGTGTTCTTCG